AGCTGCCGCAGGGCTGGTGGGGGGGCTGCAGGGGGGGCTCCCCGTCCCTGCTCCGCTCCAGCCCCACCACCACTCCCCTGAAGACTGCAGCCAGGCCTGACCCTGCACTCACCATGTGGTAAGTGGAGCGACCCGGCCCCAGCCTGCTCCGCTGCCCTGGCTCCCAGCCGCGCCGCCAGCTAGTGTGGGGGGGTGGTTCCCCCTTCTCTCCTCCCCCCAAGCCTGGGAGCCAGGGGAGCAGAGCAGGCTGGGGCCAGGTAACTCCACTTCCCGCAGGAAGTGGCCAGCCCCCCTCCCACCCATCCCCCACAGAGGCCTGGAGCCAGCCCCCCCTCCTGTGGAGGCCTGGGGCGAAGCCCCACACAGCCCCCCCCACACACACACACAGAGGTCTGGGGCCAGCCCCCCCTCCCTCCAGTGGAGGCCTGGGGCTGCGTAGGGCACCAAAATAGCTAGGGATGGCCCTGGCTCCCCGGGCCGGGGGGAGGGGGCGCAAGGTGGAAGTTTCACCTAGGGCGTGAAATATCCTTGCCCCGGCCCTGCCAACGGAGGTAGAAAACTCTGCAGGGCCAACTACTAGAAGCAGGGTACGAGAATGAGCTCAGGCTGATACAGTACCTTTAGGAGCGGAGTTGGAGATTGAGTCTGAAGAGCCGCTGGGAGAGTCAGAAGAGGAAGTTAGCAGCGCAGGAGATACCGGCAGTTTGCAGATAGGAAAAGGAAGTCCCAGGGTGGCACCACAGGAGGTGGAGCTGAGTGCCCTAGAAAAGGCAGCTAGTGATGTAAAGGAGGAGTTGAGCAAAGCAAAAGGGGAGGAAATATCCTCTCCTCTGTTAGTGAAGAGTCAGTGCCTTTAGAGACTGTCATTATTCAGGGACTAGAAGGTGCAGTTACAACAACCAAGGAATAGAATTCCTGCTTCTCCACCCAATATTACATTAGCACCATATAGAGTAGAAGATCCAGCCCCTTTTGGGTGGACATTTGTTAGCATTTGGGCAATCAACATTGCCTAGACCCCATGCAGGGGTGGCTCTGTTTTTCGCCGCCCCAAGCACGGCAGTCAGGCGGCTTTCAGTGGCACACCTGCGGGCGGGCCGCTGGTCACGCCGATTCGGTGGCATACCTGCGGGAGGTCCGCTGGTGCCGCGCCTTCAGCGTCCCCACCGCCTAATTGCTGCTGAAACCGCGGGACCGACGGCCCTCCCGCAGGCATGCCGCCGAAAGCCGCCTGACTGCTGCCCTCACAGCAACCGGCAGGCCGCCCCCTGCGGCTTGCCGCCCCAGGCACGTGCTTGCTGCACTGGTGCCTGGAGCCGCCGCTGACCCCGTGGAACCTCTACATCCCCTTGGTATATGTTAGTATCACCCGGTGTACCGGTAGAACATCCTACTACACAGACCTTAGTGGACTGAGGCTGGGTCTACACTACCTGCCTGAATCGGCGGGTAGAAATCGACCTCTCGAATCGACGCTTTTACTCCACCAGCGGAGGTGGGAGTAAGCGCCGTCGACGGGAAGCCGCGGAGGTCGATTTTGCCGCCGTCCTCACAGCGGGGTAAGTCGGCTGCGATACGTCGAATTCAGCTACACTATTCACGTATCTTAAATCGACTACCCCCTGTAGTGTAGATGTAGCCTAAGAGAGGTCCTGCATCAGTGTGGAGACGCCCTGAGTGTAAGACATAGAGGTTTTATGGAAAATTGTCCTGCATATCCAGAATTCTCTCCAATGGAAAGTTCTGATGGCTCAGACGAGGAAAATGTGACTTTGGGCAGGAGAAGTCAAAACAGAGAAATTATAGATTCAAGCTCAGATAGAAGTCCAGATCCTGATCCAGAAGGAGGATCCTCAGACTCTAATTCTGACTGTCCTGTAGCAGTTGTTACAGACGTTAAGACCCTGGATCTGGTAACTAAGTAAGTCGGGATGATGGAAGATTAGTCAGTCGCAATGCATGCACAATGTGTGCAAGAAACAGCAAAAGTGAAGGGAAGATTGGGTTAAAATTTTACAACTCACAGTGAATTTAGCATTGTGGAGTACTTTGCCACCTGAGTACAGGGTAGGAGAATTTTTTTTTAACAAAACGGTAGCCCTATTGGAACATAATCAGCATCCGGGGCAAGCTGGAGTGGCAATTGTGTCTAACTTAACTGCAGGTAAAACTGATGTGGAGACTCATTAGATCTTTGCTTTAAGTGCAGCATTCCACAGTCATATGAAAGAGGAAACAGATGAGCCACCATCCGTTAGTTTGCTAGTTAATAACTCTCTTCCCCATTTACGGGAAATGGTTAACATGCATATAATTGATGATACTTCTTTAAAGAAGGCATTAGCCTTACTAGCCAAGGCATATGCGCAGGGGGGCTCTAAGATAGGTCGGCGTGGAGCCCCTGTTCCAATACTTCAGGAATCACGAACTAATCCCACTGTGAGGATTGAGAGGCCTCAACTTCAACCAGGGTTAGGCTGAGGGGTTCCTAAATTCCCTCGGTACCAGCATTGGCAAAATGACCCTAACCCACATAATAACCCTGGACCTTCGAGTGGGCAGGCCCCTCGACAGGGTTATGCATTTGGATCTTATGTAGGGGCCCGGGACTGTGTTCCTTTCTTTTCAGATTACTGCACAGAACAATTCACGTCTGCAGAGACCCAAGTCACCACCTCCCCACAAAAATGAGGACTCAGTTGTAAGGATGTTTAAGACAGCGCAGCAGACGCGTGAGGTTCAACGACGGGATATCCAGGAACTCTGAGCCCATGTGAATGAGCTGATGATGGTAGGCCAGGGCCTAGCACCCTTGAACCATCCAGTGGCCTCTATTGACCCATTTCCTTCTCTCCGGTGGACAGCCTCTCCACCTCCAGAGTTGGCTGTCTCCAAAGAGATAGAGGAAGAACCAATAGATTATTTGTCTGCATATGTCAATCAACCCCGAGTATAGTCATAACCCCCGTCATGGAAAAACGACCACGCGTTGTGTTTGGATCAGAATCGCATGAGGCCTCTTTATTTTCATGCATGCACGGGGGTACCAGCGAACTGGCAAGCCCCCCGACTACAGATTTTCAAATAGCTTATATAGCATAAAACCACAATTAGGTAATGCATACTTCCTTATCAGCATTATTGCCATATTTGGACTACACTCCCCCAAAAAGGGAATATAGCTTAGCAAGCTTTCCTGTTTTTCACAGTCTGCCCTTTGCGGTTTCTTGCTCTGTCACCGGACATCTATTAATCAAAGTCTGTTACAAAGGTTAATTCTACTTTTATAATGTCTACAGTTAATTCTGCTTTCATGATTTCTGTCTATCCTTCTACTTACACTCCCCCCCCCCCTTTTCTCCTTCCTCCAGGCCACACATACAGTTCACCTGACCCTACATATAGTTCACTTGACCAAAGTTTAGGCCTTAGACTATTTTTCCTCCACACCCCGTTAGGCAGGGATGCAAGCGGGAGACCCAGAGTATCTGCAGTGGTAGGGGGCATCCACAGGAATTTTATTATAGATACTGAGGCAGCAATTAGCATTTTCCATGTCAAGGATCCTAGATCCTCTTCTCTGTCATCAGGGTGTACAAAGACACTTGCAACTTTTGCAAGTAATCAGGTTGTTACCACACTTTCTATACCCCTTGAAATACAGATAGGTCACCTAAGAAAGGTTCATACCTTTGCACTGATGAAATTAGCAGACCCAAAGAATTGTCTATTGGGAACTGATTTCCTATACAAACAGGGATGTGTTCTTGATCTGGGTAACCAGAGACTTGGGTCTCTGCAGACGTGTCTTACCGTAGAACAGGTAAAGGATGACTCACCAGTGATCATACCTGAGTGTGGCCTGGTGTCTCCAGTGGAGGACTCTGAACCTGAGGGGTATGAGTTGAACAAAATAGTGGCTAAGCATGCAGACCAACCTGAGTTACAGGCGTTACTTCACAAGCAGGCGAATGCCTTTGCTAAACACAAACATGATTGTGGATGCATGGCAGTCACTCTTGTTGTGGAAGGAGGAGAGATTTCAGCCCAGAGACAGTATCCTTACCCAAAACAAGCAAATCCATACATAGAAAAGACTATCAAGTCTTTACTGACACAGGGAGTACTACGTAGATGTACTTCCATTGCGAATTCCCCTATTTGTCCTGTAAAGAAACCAGATGGTTTGTGGCGTCTCACAATAAATTACAGATGCCTGAATCAAGTCACACCCACTTGTGCCCCTACAGTGGCCAAAATGCCAAATCTAATCAAGTCCTTTGATCCAGAGGCTGTGTGGTTTACTGTCCAAGACATCAGTAACACCTTTCGGACATTGCCATTGGCCCACATTTCACAGTACCGCTTTGCATTTAGTTTCCAGGGAGTCCAATATTCCTGGACACGTTTACCTCAGGGGTATAAAAATTCTCCAGCTTTATTCCATGCGCAAATGAGGCGGGTACTGTCGTAATTTTCTAAACCAAATGTTCTATTTCAATATGTAGATGACCTGTGTTTAGCTACACAGACTAAAAAGGAGCATTTAGAAAGACTTGACGAGCTCCTGCAGATCCTAAAGGAAGCAGGGTTAAAGTGCAATCCGGCCAAGGCACAGCTAATGGCCAATTGTCTCTCTTTCTTGGGCCTCACCCTGACAATGGGGTGGAACCCCGGCACAACAGAAAGTAGATGCAATCCAAACATTGCCTTTACCACAGGACCCAACAGCTTTAAGATCGTTTTGGGGTTTAATGGGGTACCACAGGGATTTCAGTCCCAATTTTGCTTCTATTGCAGGTCCCTTGTACCAACGACTAAAGAAAGGTGCCCAGTGGTAATGGTGTGAGCAGACACAGACGAAGTGTCCCAGCTAAAACAGGCCATTGTCAAGGCTCCAGTGTTGATCACTCCAAATCCCGAGATACGCGATCGTCCAGAGATAGCGGTGAGTGTTAATGCGTTAGCGGCTGGGGCCCCACAAGAAAAGCCTGGGGAAATCAGACCCGCGGCTTCTTCCCTCTAC